ATGCGAAACACAAAAATGCGGTGTTGCCGTCACATGTCTCTAATAGATTTGATGCTGAGCAGTAATCGTACTTGTGATAAACCACCCCCACATACAATGCAGACAAATATGCCGCTAGCGCATCCACTGAAAGCCTTGGTAATCTTGCCAATCTTGGCAAGAGTGTGACGGTGTGAAGATAGGAAAGAATTTGTGCTGATCACGGCTGAGGGGGCAGGTGCAATTGAAGACCCGCGATGGCGGAATTAATATCGGAATGGCGTGGCGCCTGGATACCAACTTATGGCGGAGTTCTTCCCATCTATGAACGCAAGAAAGACAGTTTCCTCCACGAGATTGCACAAGCTTATCCGCCCTATGCCGGCTGCCTTGATCGCCTTGAGTACGCATATTTCTTGGTTATTCTGGTTGACCCTGCACGGTTTTGACATATCTTCCGGTTTCTTTGTCGACGACGAGCTGATTGTCTCGCACTGAGGATAGTTTGGTCCTGCTTCTGATGTTGCCTTACGGAAACCCGGTAGTCCTTGACGAGCTTGGGATCAGCCTTCCTAATGACTCTCTCGTATTGCCAAGACCGCTTAGGCGACCCCACCCAGTAAACCAATAGCTGACTACCCCTATGAGTCTTTCTATGACCCTCGATCCTGAACGGATGCCAAAGGTCTTTGTGGGCCATTGCGCCCAAACGCCCATCCGCGACACTGTCCCAGTAGGCGAAAAGGACCATTTCTGAATCCTCTTGAACAGCGCTCTCAGGGACCCAAGCTTGTCGTCCGTCTTTCCCTTCGATTCGCAGCTGGAAAAGTGTCTCGACATCAGCGTCACGGCGATGACCGGTGATAGAGTAGACGTTTGGCAGGGTGTGCTCGAGTTTGCCAGCCATGTCTGCGTCATCGTTCATCATGACAGGCAAGGACCTATCATACTTGTCTGGCATCATGCTTGTAACCGGTCCGCGAATAGGCGCGGGAAATGCATCTTCTTGGTGGGCTACGGCCGGTCGGACATTGCTATCTCTATCGAGTGTCAAATTTATGTCGTACGAAGGTCTGAGGGACACTTACGGAGGTTGACGGTGAAATGATGCGAACTTGATAAAATCAGTCAATAGATCCATTGCGAACGTCAGGTCAAAACGTTGAAGCGATATTTAGAGATGCGACGAAACGCCGTACTGATTGGTCAATGGCTAGGTGATCTGACCACTCTGGAGACAATTTATGAAGCAAAGTCAATAGGTCTGATTACACTAATGCGATCATTCGTCGACCGTCTAGCAGCGAGGCGTTGCGGCCCCTGGCATCTTCAACTCACTTGATGCAGCCATGTTACCTATTTTGTTGAGAGGTTATCTTACCCTTGCACGTTTGGTTATGTTGTGCTCCATTTGTTCCCCAACTTTGTTTGGAGAAAAAGGATGATGGTACCACCCTTTTCGGAATCCGCTACCGCGAACGTGATGCTCTGGAAAGATGATTCGGCATACAGATGATTCATTATCATCAAATTTACCGTTCGGTCGGTCTGTCGTCCTCATCATGGTTTTCCGAGGTACCAGAGATGCGCGACAATTGACAGGGCCGCCAAGCGAATGACCTTGTGATAAGCGTTCGGCGACTCCACTCGCATCCTGACGAGCAAGCAAGTCATCGTCCCCGGCACTGCCTGGAAGAGCCCAGACGAGCATGCCACGAACAGCTGCATGACCGACAAGGTTCTCCGGCCTCACCCTAGTTTGAGCAAGTCGTGAAGCGTTGCGAAGAGGTCCATCGTACGTGACAGCCTACAAGGCAATCGAACAATCTCGTCGCCTCCACTAGGACGAGTCTTTGCCACCCTACAGATGCATTCGAGTTCAGCATCTTCGAAAGCAGGCTGTGCGTCCGCGTATCACACCGCAAGCAGCTATTGCCGGTATTCGAAAGTATTGTTGAAAGTTCGCCATGTATGCGTATTTCGGCGGTGCAGCGAGCAGACAGAAGTCCTCGCGAAATTCCAGACCAAGCCACAATCAAACCGCCCAATAGGGAATGGGCCGCTCTGCGGCTGTAGCGCATAGCCCACTAAGAGAGTCGAGCTTGTGCTCGGAAAACTTAGCGGTCAAGAAAGTGGATTCAAAGTCAGCCGACCCCGACAACGAAGGCTTCCTCGAAAACCGTGTTGCATTTCCCGCCGCAGGAGGCCCAAACGGACACCGCGAATAGGGGAGGAATCTTTGGTCCGGAAGGCCAACACGGTTTCCGGTTGAGGCTGCTGGCGGCCGCTGCTTCGACGCTGTTACTTCCACTTCCTTGTTAGCCGAGCTCGTTGGCTCACCAAACATGGCCCCACGATGGACCCATATTGGATGATCCATACAGGCCAGGGCACTGCGGAGTGACAATCACCAAAATCGAAGTGCGGGTCAAGCGAATGATGCATTGCGCCAATTAGCCAGTGATGTGGTTATGCCGCGTCCCAATGGGGCTGGTGGCTCCTGCACACTGCAGCCAACGATTGGACGTCCGCCCTTGCACTGCGACGGCCTGGCAAATCCGAAGCTCTAAAGGTTATGGTCGCTTGCTTAGGAGAAGCACAGTCCAGGCCTTTCAATTTGCTCGTTCATCGAAGCGGGGGCAGCTGCAGCGCCTTAAAGTCAGGTGGGCCAATATGTTAATAACGTTAAACCAACGTCATTCTAGTTTTCACCACATCTCAAGATATGACCAACAGCTGATTTGTAACGCATAAGGACCGGTCTGCCGCACCTTTGGCCAATAGAGTCTAGCCTGTTCGTTTTGTCAGTCTTCGCGGTAGCAGCGGCGGTAAACTTTTCGTTAGCCTGGCGTGTGCAGTAGTCTGCTCAGGATGGCACGCCAAATCCAAGCCCGTTGAGCGATGATGGGGAACATGCACAGTAGTTTCGTCTCAACTGCGCATCGTCTCAACTGCGCA